TAAACATGCATCAGCTATGATAATCTGACAGCGGTAGCTGCCGTCCCTGGAACTGTTGGTCGGGGTCCTTGTAGGGTTTAAGTAGCTGGACATGGAAAGCGTTGTGAAGCTTTTATGTATTTGGTAAGCGCAAGCGGAATGTAGCTGGTGTCACCTGTGTCTCCACGAAAAATGGACCACAGAAGCGAGGCCGGAGTTTGGATGGGAGGTGAGACAGGTTCAAGTTGCGCGTGTCAAGAAGCACCTGATCCGTGACTGTTATGAATTGATCTCGTTGCTGTCGATCAGCATACTGCTTCTGGGAGGTCTGCATCGTGGTGAGTCGTCGCTAAGTCTTCTCCCATAGTAGCTGTATGGTGGTGACGAAGTCGTGTGCGGCTTGGACGTGTGCCGGTGTGGTTGGCTGCTGTGGTGTAAGTGGTTCCCATTCGTAACACAAGAAGAAGGGAGTTTTCCCTGTGGCCGCATGTGACGCATTGTTGTAAGCGAACTCTAATGTCAGTAACTGTGTGTCCCAGTGGCTAACATCATCTTTGCAAGCTATGTGTAGTAACTGTTCAACCACCAGATTGAGTCGCTCTATCTGTCCGACAGTTTGTGGGTGGTATACTGAGGACATCACAAGTTTGGTGCCCAATAATCCCAAGAGCTCCTTCCAAAACTTACTTGTGAATTTGGGGTCTCTGTTTGAGATGAGTGTAGTGGGGATGCTGTGGATGGTGATGATGCGGTCAAAGAAGAGGCGAGCAGTTGCTTCAGCTGTAGCTATGGCACTGGTCGGTATGAAGTGACCCATTTTGGAGAACTTATCGATCACTACGAGGATGGAATCGTGCCCCTGTGAGGTTGAAGGAAGTCATGTGATGAAGTCGAGGCTAACGACCTGCCATGGCTGCTCCGGTACGGGTAGAGGCTGAAAAAACCCTGCTTTTTTCTGCTTGCTACTCTTCATCCGCTGGCACGTGTCGCACGAGGTAGCGAACTGCTGCACGTCTGCTGCCATCTCGGACCAGTAGTAATACTTTGCTATCCGTTCTAACGTCTTTTTGCTCCAGAAATGTCCCGCATAAGGTACGTCGTGAAACTCCTCCAATAGGATCTGCCGTAGCGGGGCGTACTTCGGTACCCAAATATTTTTTGTGCCCTTCCTTACAGCTAACTCTTTCTCCCACTGTAACAGCTTCTTGGTCTGTGCTATAGCGATCTCTGCGTCCACTAGGTATCCATGTTGGAATAGACCCTTGAGCAGAGGGTTCATCCCGTCGTGCTGGATGCGTGCTACATGTGTGGGGCGGCTAAACATGTCTGCCTTGTTGTGTAGTGCGGGCTTGAAGTGGGTTTCCAAGAAGTCCACCCAACACACCTGTCGTCGTGAGAGTGTCGGATGCGACTTCATCTATTTAAGGCTGCAGTGGTCAGTATAGACAATATTCTTGGCTCCCTCTAGGTAACACCTCCACGCCTTGAAGGCTATGACTATCGCTAAGGCTTCTTTGTCATGGATGGGGTAGTTCAGTTTTGCTCCGTGTAATTTCTTACTGAGGTAGGCGATGGGCTGAAAACCGCGTCCGTGATCCTGCATCAGTACTGCTCTGACTGCTTGGTCACTAGCGTCTCCTTCCCCCACGTAGTCCCTGTCTTGTGCTCGGATTGTGTGGTGACTTTGTGATCCACCCTGAGCTTGCTTTCCTAGGTGAGCCAGCGTAGCTCCTGTGCAGCCATGGCCCCTGCGTAGATCTCAGCCTCACAGCTGGAGCTGAGAACAGAAGACGAGCAGGTAGAACGTCACGAAACAGATCCGGAGCCAAGGCTGAAGGTGTAACACTGTGACGACCGCTGCAGAGCCTGGTCGTCAGCCCAAGAAGCGTCAGCCTGACCTGTGAGGACCACTCGACGTCGCCCTCCAAGCACTAGCCCCATGCCCGACGTACTGCACATGTAGCTCAACACCCTCTTCGCTGCAGCCATGTGCTCTGGCCTGTGTCTCCCAGGAGCAACATAGCATGCCAAGATGCTAAGAGGGTATGTAAGGTCAGGTCGTGTGCAGGTCATCAGGTACATGAGGCAGCCAACAAGCTCTGGGTACGGGCCACTCGGCTCTACAGACTCATCTGAAGGCAGAGCTGAGAGAGAGTGGCGAGTAGACAGAGGAGTGGCCTGAGGCGAGGAGTACGTGAAGCCGAAGCGCTGAAGGACCTGTTGCACCATGTGTAACTGAGTCAGAGTAATGGTGCGCTGTGCTCTGTCCCGGGTGATCTGCAAGCCAAGGTAGCTGCGCACTTCACCTAGGTCTGTGCACGTGTGTCTCTTCTGCAGCTCGCACTTCACGTGGGCAAGTCCAGCAGTGTCAGCCCTGGCAAAGACCAAGTCGTCGACGTACACGAGGATGTAGAACGACGGCAAAGAGGTGTCGGTGCGTAGAAACAGCGACGGGTCGGCTGTAGAAGGAGCAAACCCAAGAGCTGCAAGTGTAGTTCTCAGTGTGTCGTGCCACTCACGGGGCGCCTGGCGGAGACCGTAGACTGGCCGTCGTAGGCTCCACTGGGTACCAGGAGGAAACGACCCAGTGAAGCCAGGAGGGCTGCACAGCCAGATCTCCTCGTGCGGGCTGCCCTGCACGAAAGCTATGCTGAAGTTAAGAGAGTGAAGCTCGTAGTCGCGCTGAGCGGCTATGTGCAGCAGCACCCGAAGAGTGGTCATCTTCGCGGTGGGAGAGAAGTTCTGAAAGTAGTCAACTCACTGCAGTTGACTGACGCCTCTAGCCACATAACGCGCCTTGAAGACAAGCGGAGAGCGCGGCGGCCGCTTCACCCTGAAGATCTACATCCCATTGACGATGTTCGCCCCAGGTGGGGGAACCTCGTCGACGTAGGTGCCTCTGGACTTCTAGGAAGCCATCTCTGCGTCCATGGCCAATTGCCACTCTGAGGAGTAGGGACCCTTGATCGCCTCAGCGTACGATCGAGGAGTCGGGATGTCAGGTGCATCTGGGTCTCCCTCAGGGGCAATCAGCGTGGACACGAGATGGGGCAAAGGAGCAGCAAAGCACTGGAACTCCTCCTGCCTGTCCTCAAGGACGTCCGTGCTAAGAGCACACTCACTCTTGACGGACGGAGGACTGACAGACTCAGACTCAGCAATAAGACTAGCGGCGTAGTCAAGACGACAGCGAGCAGCAAAATCAACAAGCTCAGCAACTAGGGCAGACGCAGCAGTGGACTCAAAGGAAGGGTCAGTGACAAAAGTAGCCAGGAGACGCGTGACAGAAGGACTAGCAGCACGAAGAGAGTCAGACTCCGGGTCAGCAAGAGTAGGAAGAGAAGACTCCGGAGGAGACAGCAACGGGACACGCAGAGGAGCAGTGGAAGGACGCAACACCATCTGGTGTGTGCCTGGGACCGCAGGAGGACGCGGACACGCAGTACGACCACTAGTGCGAGCAGCACGAACACGCGACGCACGACGGGACGCAGGCTCACAACGCTCAGCAAGACCTCCAGTAGGACCAATGTAGAGAGAAGGAGCAGGTAGGGGGGAGGCGGGCTGTAATTGTGACTGCGACTCGATAGTCTGTGGACACTATAAGGGAGGAGCAGGACCTGTAGAGGGCGGGAGACCAAGAACCTGCTCCAGGAGGGGAACGAAGTACGGCCTCAGCCGCGCAGCGCCTCCAGAACCAGCAAGGACAGCACCAGTACCCCCAGCGGCAACACCAGCACTAGCAGCACCTCCAACTCCAACAGCGCCAACTCCAGCACCCCCAGACGCACCAGCGCCAGCAGAAACACCAGCGCCAACACCCCTAGCAGCTCCAGCTCCAGCAACACCAGCACCGCCAGCAGCTCCAGCAGGACCAACTCCGGTAGCCCAAGCAGCACCCCCAGTCCCAGCAACTCCAGGACCGCCAGTACGAGCACCTCAAGGACAAGCAGCAGCAGTAGTACCTCCAGCTCCAGCAGCACGGCTCCAGCGGCGGGCAAACCACTCGAGCAGCTCCTGTGGAGAGTGTGCCTCCCGCCTCAACAAAGCACCGCCGGCGGCCATACAAGCAGACCCAGCACCCCGAGACTCAGCACCCCTAGTCTCAGCACCAACAGTCTCAGCACCCCCAGACTCAGCACCTCCAGACCCGGCACCCGCAGGCTCAGCACCTCTAGCAGCACCACAGTCAACAGCTACCTCGACAGCCTTGAATGCGTCTACCTGTGACACACCTGACGGGGCAGGACCCTTAGGGGGGAGGGGGTCTACCGGGGGAGGACCTGGCGCAAGGAAGAGCAGCCGCGGGGGGAGGGGCGCAGTGCGGTAGGGGAAGAGACGGTAGTAAGGCACCAACTCGTCAAAGGTGACGTCCTAGGAGGACAGAATACGGCGCGAGGTGGGGTGGTAAAACTGCCACCTAGGCGCGTTAGGCGGGAAGCCAAGGAAGACGCAGGGAACAGCATGGGGGGATAGCTTCTCCGCAGACAAGTCGCGGACAAACGCCCGAGATCCCCAGACCCGAAACGCAGACGCATCGCCAACCTTCCCTGTCCACCGCAAGGTGGGGGAGGTCTCTGGCAAGGAGACCCGGGGCTGAAGGTTGAGCTGATGCGCAGCGTACTGAGCCGCAAACGGCCACTGAAAATGTGGGGCAGCCGCATGCATCATGGACGTACGAGAGACGTCCATGACCATGCCAATGCGGTGCTCAACAATCCCATTTTGCTGTGGAGAGGCCGGCAGCGTGAAGGTCTGGCGGATGCTCTGTGCATGTCAGAAGGCTCCCAAATGGGCAGAGCAAACTCCCCGCCTCTGTCCAAGTGCAGATGCAGAGCAGGAGAGTCTGAGCTGAAACTCTCTCTGAGCTGGAGACAAGCTGCGCGGATCCAGTCTATCAACACCTCACTGACGTCACCCTTGCTGCGCAAGGGGATAACTGTGGTGTAACCCGAGTAGTTGTCAACCACCACCAGGAAGGGCGAGGCCCAGGAGGTAGGGGAGGGAGAGAACGAGGGAGATCAGAGACAAGGACACGGGAGGCCATGCCTTTGAGACGAGGCAGGGAGGGGTGACCAAGGCGGTGGTGCCAGAGGAGAGTCTGGTGGGACAGTAGACGACACGACCAAGGGAGCAGACTCAGGACCAGACCTGGACGCTGCAGCAAACACCTGACTCAACGCAGCTACCTGGGCACACTCAGCAGCCGGAGGAGACTCAGTAGTAAGAGTGAACAGGCTCGACCCTGGTCGACGGGTGAACGTGGCCAAGTGTCGGCTTGTCCGAGCACGCGTGCAGTGGGTCTCCCGCTGACTCGCAGGAGTGAACTGGTCAATCCCCCTATCCTGTAGGTCCGATCCACTCACCAAGTTCGTAGAAAACGAGGGGAGGTAGAGACCTGACAGGGTGCCAGAGGGGGCTGCCGGGCACGGAAAGACAGTGGAGAAGGTAGCAAGGACAGGACCCTTAGAGGGGTCCGCAAGCGAGACTGCAACCGGCCGACTGAGCGGAGTAAGAGTGGTGCGGTCTCGAAAGAAGGAGCGGGACGCACCCATGTGAAGGGTGATGATGTGTAAGGCCTGAGCCTACGTAGTACCTGAGAGAGCAGACTCACCAGCACCTGGGGCAGGTGACGCACTTGCACCTGGGGCAGCAGACGCACTAGCACCTAGAGTAGCAGACGCACTAGCACCTAGAGCTGCAGCCTCACCAGCACGTAGAGCAGTGGCCTCAATGCCCGGGTGAGGCGGTACACACAGGTAACAGTCACCCTCAACACTAGTAGTGACAGAATACATGGCAGCAAGGATAGCATCATAGTCAAGATCAAAGATGGGAACCCCCGCCCTAGACAGATCTCCCCAGTGAGGGATCTTTGACGCCTCAGGGAACTAGCGACGCCATGCGTCCACCAGGTGACCGAAGCAGCGCTGGGTGGAGTGCGGGCCCCCGCACTGCTCACCAGCTCGGTCGCCGGTACGGAGGACGTAAGTGCAGGGGCCAGTACCCCTACCGCGTTGACGCGCAAGCGTACCACTCACGAAGTTGCTGAGGGGACGGGGTCACACCACTCCGCTGCTGTGGGCGCGGACCACCACCTGAGCCACTCCTGTGCACAGAGTCGTGACCCACTCCACCACCACCGCCGCCGCCCCGTCCGCCGCCTCCTCCACCTCTGCCTCCTATGCCACCTCCGCCGCCTGCGCTCCCTCTTCCACCACCGCCGCCTCCTCCGCCTCCACTGCTGCTGCCGCCGCCGCCACCTCCGCCACCACTCCCACCACCACCCCCACTCCCTCCACTGCCTCCACCACCACCTCCACCGCCCCTGCCAGCCCCTCCAGCGCCCTTGCCCCCCTTGCCCTTGCCGGTGCGCCGTCGCGCGCTAGGGGCAGACGCAGCGCCGACCGACTCGAAACCAACGAGGCCGGCCGCTGCAGCAGAAGCAATAGAGGGCAAGAGGGGGGAGGGGGAACACCCCTCAAAGGCGAGGGTGGGAGGGTCACCACAAGAGGCTCCTACAGCGACTATGCTCTTCTCTGCCGCTAGGAGGGCCTTCTCGAGGAGGTCAACGGTGAGAGTGGTGGGGCAAAGTGAGAGGAAGTGGTCCTTGACTACGCGGAGAGAGTCAGGGAGCCGGGTGACTATGTAGTAGAGGGTGATGTACATGGGGGGGGGGGGGTTCTTGGCGCAGAACTAAGCAGGAAGCGCAGCGCGGTAACGAGTGTCACTAGTGCGGAGGTGCGTAATAAGGTCAGCGGCTGTGGGAAAGGTAGCAAGATCAGGGAAGAGGTACGGTAGCATGAGGCGGCTCAGTGCAGCAGTGGCAGGGGAAGAGTAGCGTGCAACTACAGCATCGTACAAGGTCTGAGCACTCTTGTACTGGCGAAAGTGTGCACGCTCAGTGGTCAGTAAGTGGCGACGCAAAGCAAGATGGGCAGCAGCATCGCGTGTCGCCCACTGTGAGCGAACAGTGCTGTTAGCAGTAGCAGGCGGGGCAGGGGAGGCACCAGAGGTGAGGTGGAATAGAGAGAGGCCGTGTGCCCTATCGCACCGGAGGATCAGCTGGAGGTCATCGACCCAGACCTCAAAGTCAAGAGCACGGCCCTCAGTGTCAAAATGTAGGAACACTGGGGGTAGCCATGACTACAGAAGTCTAGCAACTAGTGGGCACACCAGTACGAGTAAGTAGGGCCAGGGCATGTTGGTAAGACTGGTAGCGGCTCAGCGGCTCGGCTGCTGGGTGGCTCGGCGGTCGGGCAGCTCGGCGGTCGGGCGGCTCAGCGACCCAGCTGGTGGGCGGCTCAGCTCTCGGGCGGCTCGGCGGCTATGGCTTCTTCGAAGTCCACAGGCTCCTACGTCGACGAGGTTCCCCCACCTGGGGCGAACATTGTCAGTGGCATGTGGATTTTCAGGGTGAAGCGGCTGCCGGGTTCTCCGCCTCTCTTCAAGGCGCGTTACGTGGCTCGAGGCTTCAGTCAGCGGCAGGGAGTTGACTACTTTCAGACCTTCTCTCCCACCCCGAAGATGACCACTCTTCGGGTGCTGCTGCACATACCCGCTCAGCGCGACTACGAGCTTCACTCTCTCGACTTCAGCACAGCTTTCCTGCAGGGCAGCCTACACGAGGAGATCTGGCTACGCCGCCCTCCTCGCTTCACTAGGTCGTTTCCTCCTGGTACCCAGTGGAGCCTCCGGCGGCCAGTCTACGGTCTCCGCCAGGCGCCCCATAAGTGGCACGACACACTGAGGCCTACACTTGCGGCTCTTGGGTTTGCTCCTTCTACAGCCTACCCATCGCTGTTTCTGCACACCGACACCTCTCTACTGCCGTTCTACATCTTCGAGTACGTCGACAACTTGGTCTTTGTCACTGCTGACACTGCTGGACTCGCCCACGTGAAGTCCGAGCAGCAGAAGAGACACACGTGCACAAACCTGGGTGAACTGCGTAGCTACCTTGGCTTGCAGATCACCCGGGACAGAGCACAGCGCACCATTACCCTGACCGAGTCACACATGGTGCAACAGGTCCTTTAGCGCTTCGCCTTCACGTACTCCTCGCCTCAGGCCACTCCTCTGTCTACTCGCCACTCGCTCTCAGCTCTGCCTTTGGATGAGTCCGTAGAGCCGAGTGGCCCGTACCCAGAGCTTGTTGGCTGCCTCATGTTCCTGATGACCTGCATACGACCTGACCTTGCATACCCTCTTAGCATCTTGGCACGCTATGTTGCTTGTGGGAGACACCGACCAGAGCAAATGACTGCAGCAAAGAGGGTGTTGCGCTACGTGTATAGTACATCGGGCATGGGGCTAGTGCTTGGAGGGCGACGTGGAGTGGTTCTCACAGGTCACGCAGATGCTTTTTGGGCTGAGGACCAGGCTCTACAGCGGTCCTCACAGGGTTACACCTTCAGCCTTGGCTCTGGCTCTGTTTCGTGGCGGTCTACCCGCTCGTCTTCTGTTCTCAGCTCTAGTTGTTAGGCTGAGATCTACGCAGGGGCCATGGCTACACAAGATCTACGCTGGCTCACCTACCTACTGGCTGACCTAGGAGAGTCGCCTCGTTCTCCTCCAGTTCTGTACGTAGACAACAAGGCCATGCTGGACTTGTGTCAGGAGCACAGACTGGAGCACAGAACAAAGCACATTGCTCTCTGCTACTTCCTGGCTTATGAGCTGCAGCATTGTGGTCAGCTGCGCCTCACCTACGTGGCCTCTGAAGCCAACAATGCTGATATCAGCGCTCTTTTACGATGCTAGGTCTTGTGCCTACCTGGCCTCACTTGCTCACTTTTTGATCTTGTTTGTACTGTCCTCTTTCTATACCTGCACTTGCTTGATTACCTTTATATATATGATCTTGGATGTGAAGTGGCCTTGTGGCCTTACTCTTGTGCTCGGACTGTGTGGTGACTTTGTGATCCACCCTGAGCTTGCTTTGCTTTGCTTGACTGGTCTTGAGACCACTTGTTCTCCCCCACTTTGCCTATGGGGGTGTGTCAGAACATTATAGACTATACATTTGTGTAGGTTGTAGTGGGGTAGTCCATAAGGGGTACAACCCAATTAGGGTTAGTACTTGTACCCAACTCTTTCATAGTTCAATCATTCTCTTGTTCTCATCTTCAGAGTTCGCCCCTGGTGGGGGAACCTCGTCGATGTAGGTGCCCGTGGACTTCCAGGAAGCCATCTCTGCGTCCATGGCTGACTGCCACTGTGAGGAGTAGGGACCCTCGATCGCCTCAGCGTACGATCGAGGAGTCGGGATATCTGGTGCATCCGGGTCTCCCTCAGGGGCAATCAGCGTGGACACAAGATGGGGCAAAGCAACAGCAAAGCACTTGAACTCCTCCTGCCTGTCCTCAAGGACGTTCGTTCTAAGAGCACACTCACCCCCGGTGGACAGAAGACAGACAGACTCAGACTCAGCAACGAGACTGGCAGCGTAGTCTAGACGACAGCGAGCAGCGAAGTCGACAAGCTCAGCAACTAGGGCAGATGCAGCAGTGGACTCAAAGGAAGGGTCAATAACAACAGTAGCAAAGAGACGCGTGACCGAAGGACTAGCAGCACGAAGAGAGTCAGACTCCATGTCAGCAAGAGTAGGAAAAGAGGACTCTGGAGGAGACGGCAACGGGACACGAAGAGGAGCAGTGGAAGAACGCAGTACCATCTGCTGTGTGCCGCTCCACCACCGCCGCCGCCGCCGCCGCCTCCGCCGCCTCCTCAACCTCCGCCACCTCCGCCACCTCCGCCTCCTCCGCCACCTCCGCCGCCTCCGCTCCCTCCGCCACCACCACCACCCACGCCACCTCCACTGCTGCCGCCACCGCCGCCACCCCCGACACCACTCCCACCACCACCCCCACTCCCTCCACTGCCTCCACCACCACCTCCACCGCCCCCTCCAGCCCCTCTAGTGCCCTTGCCCCTCTTGCCCTTGCCAGTGAGCGTTTCCCGCTTGGGGCAGACGCAGCGCCGACCGACTCAAAGCCAACGAGGTTGGCCGCAGCATCAGAGGCAACAGAGGGCAAGAGGGGGGAGGGAGAACACCCCTCAAAGACGGGGGTGCGAGGGTCACCACGAGAGGCTCCTACAGCGTCTATGCACTTCTCTACCGCTAGGAGGGCCTTCTCAAGGAGGTCAACGGTGAGAGTGGTGGGGCAAACTGAGAGGAAGTGGTCCCTGATTACGTGGAGAGAATCACGGAGTCGAGTGACTATGTAGTAGAGGGTGATGTACGTGGGGGGAGGGAGGGGTTCTTGGCGCAGAACTCAGTAGGAAGCGCAACGCGGTAGCGAGTGTCACTAGTGCGAAGGTGCGTAATGAGGTCAGCGACTGTGGGAAAGGCAGCAATGTCAGGGAAGAGGTACGGTAGCATGAGGCGGCTCAGTGCAGCAGTGGCAGGGGAAGAGTAGCGTGCAACTACAGCGTCGTACAAGGTCTGAGCACTCTTGTACTGGCTTAAGTTGTTGAAATGTATTCATATACATTTATAAATGCCTACAGTAGAGTTTAGTGTACTTATATAGTTTCGTGCTTGGTGGTGCACCATTTGCCTATTTCCTTGACTATATCTTGTATGCCTTCCATTATTGAATCACTTCTCTTCTTGGCCAACTTTCTCCTCTCGACATTTTCCTTCAACCCTCCAACACGAACTTAAGCTACTCCTATCTATGGCTCCTGAGCCCAACTCGACTTAGGATTGTGACAAAAGTGTGCACGATCAGTGGTCGGTAAGTTGCGGCGCACAGCAAGGCGAGCAGCAGCATCGCGCGTGGCCCACTGTGAGCGAACAGTGGCGTCAGCATCAGTAGCAGGGGCAGGAGAGGCACCAGATGTTAGGTCAAATTGGGAGAGACCGTCTGCCCTATCGCACTATAGGAAAGGCTGCAGATCATCTACCCAGACCTCAATGTCAACTGCCCGACCGTTAGCGTCAAAGGTGAGAACATTAGGGGAGGCCGTGACAACAGTAGACAGACAGTCAGTACAGTGGGGTACGGCAGTGCAGTGGCAATGACGCTGCTCTTACCAGGCAAGTGGGGCGGTCCCGGGCGGGGCGACAAGCGGCAGCGCCTCGGCTGGGGTGCGGCTCGGCGGCTCGGCTGATGGGCGGCTCGGCGGTCGGATGGCTCGGCTGCAGGGCGGCTTGGCTGCTCGGCGGCTCAGCTGCTGGGCGGCTTGGCGGTCGGGCGGCTCGGCGGCTGGGCGGCTCGGCTGCTCGGCAGCCCAGCTGCTCAGTGGCTGGGCTGCCCGGCGGCTCGGGCGCTGGGCAGCTGAGCGGCGACGGGGCCGTGGAAGGGCGGCGATGAGGCCGCTGAAAGGGCGCCGACGGGCCGCTGAGAGGGCGGCGACGGGCCGCTGAAAGGGCGGCGAGGGGCCGCTGAAAGGGCAGCGACTGGGTCGCGGAAGGGGGGGGGGGGGGGGGGGGGCGGGGGGGGGGGCGACGGGGCCGCTGCAGGGCGGCGACGGGGCCGCGGAAGGGCGGCGACGGGGCCGCTGAAAGGGCGGGCAGCGACGGGGCCGTTAAGAGGGGTGGCGACGGGGCCGCTGAAGGGCGGCGACGGGGCCGCTGGAGGGCGGCGACGGGGCCGCTGAAGGGCGGTGCCGGAGCCGCAGAAGGGCAGCGACGGGGCTGCTGTAAGGGCGGGCGGCTAGGCTGTGGAAGGGCGGCGACGAGGCCGTGGAAGGGCGGCGACGGGGCCGCTGAAAGGGCGGCGACGGGGCCGCTGAAAGGGCGGCGACGGGGCCGCAGTAAGGGGTGGCGACGGGGCCGCTTAAAGGGCGGCGCGACGGGGCCGCAAGGGCGGCGCGACGGGGCCGTTAGGGGCCATACAAGGGGCAGCTAGAGGCCGCTAGAGAGGGAACGATACGGGGCACGACTCGGGCAAGGGCCAAGCGTGCTCCGGGTAGGGAAAAAAATCGGTGGGTCGTAGGAACAGCTCCCACGATGGAACCAGCTCTATACCAAGTTTAGAATGAGAGGATGATTGAACTATGAAAGACTTTGGTACAAGTACTAACCCTAATTGGGTTGTACCCCTTATGGGCTACCCCACTACAGCCTACACGAATGTATAAGCTATAATGTTCTGACATCGGGAACATGTCCTCGCCCCACTTGTGCGTCATGTATCCCGCCGCCACCAGTCCCCAAGCAACCGTTAGCTTGGGCTTTTTACCCTTAGAAAGCCCCTTGATGCCCAGGTTCCCCTTCGTGCGTATCGGTAGCGCGTCGGCGTCGATGATGTTCAGATTATCGCAGAAGTTCACAATTCCCGACGCAGCGATCTCGTCGAGTTTCTTGATGATGGCGGCGGTGTCGGCCTCTTCGTCTGACGAGTGGAAGCGGCACACAGCCTCCATCGCCCTCCTCATTCGGCGCATCTCACCCTGTTTTGCGTTGGCCGACGACTTGCCCAGGAGGCTTGTGCCGCCCGATGAAACCTGGCTCGTTGACCCTCTTGTGCCAAAGGGCCGAAGTGTGAGAGTACGACGGCTTATGCCAGCTATGCTCGCTTTCCTTTACTTTATCATGCTATTTCTAGCATAGGATAATTATATGCATGCGTGAATTGCTTGATTTCCTAGGCTAGGTGCTTTCCTATATTCTATTATAGTTATAGCACCGAGCTAGGTTGCGTGCACCGAATTCTGGCCTTTCAGTTGCCGCCGAATTGCCTTCTACCGAATTCGGGAAGGATCTGTTCAAGACGCTTTGCGACCCGCGGAACCTCTGCATAACACCTGGTTACGGGGCCTTGTGTCGATCCTATATATTTTGCCTCGTGTTGTACCCAGGTGAGTAATCAATTCATACTCTCTTTTCTGAGCTCGATCCTAGATCCTCACACTTGGTAATCAGAGCCTGTTTAAAAGCGAAGTTTTTTTACCGCTAAAACCTAGCTTTTAAAACCGCGAGGGCGACGACGGAAAGCGCCGATTTCGGGTACGTAAACCAGTTGCGCGCTCTTTTCTATGTCCCCCTCGAACCGGTTTTCGAACACTCCTCAGGTCCAGTGGCAAAAAGGTTGGATTTTCGACCGTCGGATCGATTCGAATCTCAACGGCCTCGAGAATTTCGCCCAAAAAAGTTGGATTTTGGAGCGTCGGATCGAATTTCTTCTCAACAGCCGAGATCGGACGCGAATTTTGATTAAGGGAGAATTACGCAACCTACATATTCAGCCTCGTCAATTCTACAGTCCATTCGACTCACAGTAAGATGATTAGCGCCTACAATTTTATTTTTTTTCGTTGCAAATCTTCCTGTAAATCACCAAATGAAGGAAAATGGTGATAATTCCGTACGAAAAAGTACGGAGTTACACACTGGCTTGGACCAGACGCGAAAATCACTCCAGCAAATAGAGGAGCTTCTCGCGAACCAGTCGGCAGCCGCCACCGCAGTAGCGAACGCAGCGGCAAATGCAGAGTGACGTCAGCAGCAGCAGCGGCTACTCCGACACTTCACCCATCAGCAGCAGCAGCAGTGGCTACAGTGAATGTTGAGGCGGCATGTCCGAGGCAACCGGAGACGTTCAATCCGAATGCGAGAGACACCGACGTCCGTCGATTCATTGCGACCCTCGAAATTTACTTCGAGTCCGTTGGCTGTATGACCCCAACACACGATGCAATGCGGATTCAGCTTGCAGCGACACTGTTACGAGGCCCGACGCTCGAGTGGATTTACAACAATATTAAGATCCGAGGCGAGGGGTCATGGACGCAGTTTCGAGAAGCTTTAGTTCAATGTTTCGAACCAATCAACTCCAGATACATAGCGCGGCAGCAGATTCATCATCACAGACAGTACGGCAGCGTAATTCAGTATACGGAGCAGATGGAGAGCCTCTTCAACGGAATAACCGACCTGGCCAAAGGGGAAAAGATCCAAGCGTATACTGAGGGGCTAAAGATGGAAGTGCGCCGACAAGTGATTGCCGCGAACAACAACAACTACCGCGACATGGTGTGTGCAGCAGAGATTCGATGTGCTGACACGAGATCAACCCGAGACACGACGCCACGCGCCGAACCGATCATTTGGCACGAAGCGATCGGCACCACCCATGACCGCCGACCCGATAGATATCAACAAGATCGACGCGAAGCAGCGGCCGACAAAATATGAGAACTTCGAATTTTGCGGTGCAGCAGGACATGGACTCTTGGCGTGTTGGAAAATGAAGAAGGCACGAGCGGAATTGCAGGGCAACAACAGTGCGACATCCACGATGGCCAATAAAGGAGGACACGATGGCGCAAATTCAAAAGGCCACGACCGGCCGGCAACAGGGGAAATCGCCAAGACAAATGGAGGCTCCGCGAAACAGGACTCTGCACCGACCGGGAAACTCCAGCCGAACACCCCCGAGAGTAAGAATATTTCCTCCCGAGGTTTTCAAGCCTTTAAAAAATTCAGGGGAGATTTCGAGGACAAGAAAAAGCCTTTAGAAATTATTCAGGTACCTTAGAAGTTGGGCAAACCACTCCGGAGCGTTGAAACGGGTCGTGCATTCCAAGGAGTTAATATTCTCTCCCGCAGCATAGTGTTAAGGCTCCCCATTGCCCACAGGAGAAGCCTACACAGCTGCAAAGGCTTAAGGGAAGGTTCCAGGCCAAGACGAAGCAGAATCGACCTCGGATAAATCCTTCTAACCCAAATCAGTTGAAAACTGATATGGAGTCAGAAGCTTCGAGCGCAGGACCGAGAGATGATCTATTCGACATACCCTACGATCCTATAAGCGAGACCAGCTACGGTTACTCGGAGTAGCAACAACCACTACTACTCAAGGTGATCTGCAATGGGCGACGCCTCCTGGCACTGGTGGACAGTGGTGCATCTCACTCAGTGTGCGAGCGCATGACGTTGGAGGGAATTGGAGAACCTTCGAAGGAGACCAAGTTCACGGCAACAATGGTGGACGGTACGAAACTTCGCATCCACGGCGAAGCATCAGTGCATCTGCACATAGGGGCGCTGAGGTGGAAGCCGATGTTGCCGATCACGAATCGCAAGGGTTTAGATTTCATCTTGGGGCAAGATTTCTTGAAGCGGTTCAACCCCGAGATCGGCTAGATCAACAGGAAGATGTGCATCTACAACAACGGGAAACGAGTGGAGCTGCGAAGCTGGACGGATGCATTGGTCCTGAAATGACACTGGCACAGTTCGAACGGACAGTGAACGAGAGTAACACGGGTTACTTAGCACTGGTTATGGCAGCAGCAGAGGAGGAGAAGCTGAGTACGGAGCTACCTGCAGCAGTGAAGGAGGTCTTGGAGCAGTACAAGGATATAATGCCCGACGACCTACCTGCAGGCGTACCTCTAGCATGCACCCACGAGCACAAAATCGTGGAGGAACCAGGTGTGAAACCCGTCTCACATGCACCATACCGACTGAGTCCGACTGAAATGACAGACATGAAGAAACAGATAGAGTATCTACTGGACAGACAACTGATCTGCCCATCCACCTCTCCCTACGGTGCACCTGTCCTCTTCACTCCAAAACCAGACGGCAGTTTACGGATGTGTATCGACTACTGCGCACTAAACAAACAGACAGATAAAAACAAATACCCCATTCCGCGCATACACAACCTAATGGACCAACTGCGTGGTGCAACAATCTTTTCGAAGTTGGACCTATGGTCGGGTTACTGGTAGATCAAGATGGCGGACAACTCGATCCACAAGATGGCGTTCCGTACCAGATATGGCTCCTACGAATACTTGGTGATGCCGTTCGGAATCTGCAACGCATCAGCAACGTTTCAGGCGGAGATGAATCACATCTTACGACCCGTGCCTGACGAGTGCGTGGTGGTGTACCTGGACGACATTCTCATCTACTCTAAGAACATGAAGGAGCACGTGGAGCATCCGTGGAAGGTGTTCGAGATCCTATGGAAAAACAAGTTCTACGTGAAGTTGTCGAAGAGCGACTTCGCCCTAAAGAAGGTGCAGTTTCTCGGGCACATGGTGAGTGCCGAGGGCGTGCACGTGGACCCGCGGAAGATCGAAGCCGGCAATATGTGGAAAGTACCGGAGAACGTGAAAGAGTTGCAACAGTTCCTAGGCTTCGCCAACTACTAAAACAGGTTCGTGCCGCAGTATGCTAAGATAGCAGCGCCACTGACCGAACTACTGAAACAGGATACGACCTACAAATGGGATACTCCTCATCAACAAGCCATGGAGCAGCTATAGACAGCAGCTATAGGCTAGGTGCTTTCCTATATTCTATAATAGTTATAGCACCGAGCTAGGTTGCGTGCACCGAATTCTGGTTTTTCCGTTGCCACCGAATTGCCTTCTACCGAATTCGGGAAGGATCTGTTCGGGACGCTTCGCGACCCGCGGAACCTTCGTGTAACACCTGGTTACGGGGCCTTGTGTCGAGCCTATATATAGCCTCGTGTTGTACCCAGGTGAGCAATCAATTCATACTCTCTTTTTTGAGCTCGATCCTAGATCCTCACACGAAGGGTGCCAGTTGAGGCACATGCTCGGCCTAAGGGCGCGCTGCACTTCTTTTTTTTACACACGATGTCCAACCAATGCCCGCACATCTGGTCTGCCCAATCCCAATCACATGCCCTTTCGCAAGTAGGGACGGGCAGTTGCCCACACCTTACAGACCCCCTGGGCAAGTGGTTTGCAATGCGCGGTTTGTCATTTTGGCGTTGTGGGGATGGTGACAGCATTTGTTGCCCTCGCGACGTGACGAACCGCGCTGACAAAACCACCAGGGCGAAGCCCTTGGCGAAGAGCATTTGCTCATTGCGATGCTTTCGCCTTTCTTGTATGCCACGTAGCGCTATCAAGGTGTTTCAAATGCTGCTTGCACGAAGGCGCAATTTGCCACGCTGGCGAAGTTGACGGTGTCACAGTGTTCGATTTCAGCCCCAAATGTCTCACCCTCCTTTCACAAACATTATACGCATGCAACAACCCTTGGTTACACGCTGACATTGAGTCGTAACCACGCTCAGGTTCATTTGGCTGGGGGTGACACCTACAGTTGCCTCACATGTTGAAACAGGCCCGGGCTTGGAGTATCACTTCCCCTGCCTCAATAAAAACCTGACGTTTTTCCCACTCGAATCATCCTCTCTCCCACCAACATTTGCCTAGCATGCCTCGTTTACTCAAGCGCTCGCAGCCTCCTCTGTATGTTAAGCGCGCGGTATGTATCTACCACGCCAACCACCCTCACCTGCGCCAGGAAGACATCGCTCGATGGTGCTTTACACGCTACGGTATCCATCCGGATCGCTCGACGACTGGGCGCGTGATTTGTAACAAGGCCCGATGGACCCGCACGGCTGAGAGCACCAATACCACTCAAGTGCGTGGTGGGGCTCACCCGCAGCTGGAGCAGCGCATTCTTCATTGGATTCATCACGCGGGGGAGGATGGCGTTCCTCTGACATTGGCGACCATCCGCCATCACGCGGCCGGAATCGCCCGCGACATGGGCATTCCTGCGTCCTTCCGGTGCTTGGTCGGGTGGGTGCGCCGCACATTGCGGCGCCATGGTGTGCGGTACATGTCATCACGCGGTGAGGCTGCCGACCAAGATCTCACGGCGGTCACAACCTGCCGAACCCAGCTGCCTCAGCTCCTCATGCATCTCGCAGTGGTACCGGCGGATGTTTTCAATCTCGATGAAACTGCCCTTTACATCTCGGTGCTCCCTCGCAAGACGTACGGCACGGCGTGCGTGGCTGGCCACAAGATCCCCAAGGAGAGGCTCATGGTTGGCTTCCTCATCAACGCGGACGGCACCCTTGTTATCTCGAAGTCAAAGCGCCCGCACGACTTCCTCCCGGACTACGACCCCGAGCTGTTGTGCTACTGGAAGTCCAACAAGAAAGGGTGGATGACGTCTGAGGTGAGTGAATTCTTTCTGTGTTGTTTAAGATTGCCTATGTATGAACACATTAATCATAGTATATGCCACCAATTCTCTTATTCGAATTTCCCACCCGCCCCTCACCTTCAGCTCTTCACCGCTTTCATGGAGCAGCTCAACGCGGCGATGTATGCTGAGAAGAGGCACATCATCATCCTTCTCGACAATGCAAGCAGGCACGTGCTCAAGACCGAGACGGCTACGGCAGAGGACTTGTCCGGGTTCTGCACCCGCTTACTATCCAACATCCGACTCGTCTATCTCCCCCCGGACACCACGTGTTTCACGCACCCCCTCGATTAGGGGCTGATCGCTATGGTGAAGGCGCGGTACCGGGCGTACTGGCTACGCGCTTTCGCGGCCGGCTGAAACGCGCGCGGAGCGCGGGGGGCGATGACGCGCTATTGTCCCAACCTCTGCGACTCGCTCTCGTGGCTCAGCAATTCGTAGATCACCATCAGCCCGAGGACGATCCAGCGGTGCTGGTGGCGGACCGGCTGCCTCCCGACTGCATGGGAGATGCAGCTAGAGCACGTCGGGGCCGCTGCTGATGCCGACGAGCCGCAGCCGGGGGAGGACCCGCTGGCGGCCGAGCCCGCCATGGAGGCGACGACATCTTCTTGGGACCAGCCCATCCCGTTTGCCGGAGGTGACGGCATCTTCTTGGGACCAGCCCATCCCGTTTACCAGTGTATTTGAGGACACCGACCCAGTGACGCGCGAGGCAAGGTGCAACGCGAGGTCAGCCTGCAAAATGCTTATCGGCTACTCTTGCGCCATCGGGATTGAGCCGCATGACATTAGCCACCTCTTTGACATCCGCAACCCGATTATTGTGGAGCGACTGTCAAACTTATAGACTATAGTCTATCTAGGCTGTAGTGGGGTACACACTATAGGGTACACCATTTCTAGGGTTTCCTACTTGTACTCACTTGTTTCCTAGTCTTTCCATTCCTAGTTTTATGACATGGTATAGAGCAGGTTCCCTAGTGGGAACGTTTCATGGGGCCCACCACGAGAATCGAATATTTTTCCTAACCGGAGCGCGCTTCGCCCCTGCCCGAGTCGCGCCCCGTGTGCCTGCCCTCCCGTCGCGTCCCCTGCCCTTAGCGGCCTGTCGCGCTCTCTTATGGCCCCATAGCGGACCCTCTCACAACCCCTTATGGCCCCTTCGCGGCTCCCTCGCGACCCCTCCGCGGCCCTTCGCGACCCCTCTCACGGCCCTTCGCGGCCCCTTCCGGTCCCTTGCGGCACCTTCGTGGCCCCTCGCGGCCCCTTCTAGGCCCAGTCGCCGCCCTTTGCGGCCCCTTCTCGGCCTCGTTGCCGCCCTTCGCGGCCCCTCACGGCCCCTTCTTGGTCCTGCCACTCTGCCGTCGCCGCCCCAGCAGTACCAGCCGCCGCCACCACTGCCGGGGCCGCGGCCGCCGCCGCTGTCGACAGCAGGAGCAGCTGCCGCATCTGCCGTAACAACCGCCGTCGAAGCTGCCGCCGACAGCAGCACCCGCCATCGCCGCCGACAGCAGCAGCCGCCGCCGCCGCTCCCGTGAGAGCCGCTGCTGCCACTGCCGGGGCCGCAGCCGCCAACAGCAGCAGCCGCCGCCGCCGCCATTGCCATAACACCCGCCGCCGTCGCTGCCGAAGCCGCACGAGAGTGGTACGCTGCGCGTCAGCGGGATGGGGGTGCTGGTCATTGTGCCTACGTCCTGCGCACCGGCGACCGCACTGGTGAGCCGTGCGGTGGCCCGCACACCACCCAACACTGCTTCAGCCGCCTGACAGACTCTTGGCGTCTCCAGTTCCATGACGCCATTGAGATCCCCCGCTGGGGCGAGCTGCTTAGGTCGGGGGCTGCTATCTTTGATCTGGATTACGATGCTATTCTTACTGCCATGTATGTTGTGTCAACTAGTGATGAGGGTGACTGTTACCTGTGTGTTCCGCCTGACCCGGGCATTGAGGCTGCTGCTCTAGGTGCTGGTGAGGCTGCTGCTCTAGGTGCTAGTGCGTCTGCTGCCCCAGGAGCTGGTGAGTCTGCTCTCTCAGGTACCACGTCGGCTCAGGCCTTACACACCTTCACCCTTGACTCGGGTGCTTCCCGCTCCTTCTTTCGAGACCGCACCACACTTACACCACTTAGTGGCCGTTTGCGGTCTCCCTGGCGGACCCCTCTGGGAGTCGTGTCCTTGGTCGCTTCTCCACTATCTTACCGTGTCCGGCAGCCCCCTCTGGCACCCTGTCAGGTCTCTACCTCCCCTCGTTCTCTACGAACTTGGTGAGTGGTGCTGATCTACAAGATGGGGGGGTTGACCAGTTCACTCCTGCGAGTCAGCGGGTGACCCACTGTACGTGCGCTCGGACGGGCCGACACTTGGCCACGTTTACCCGTTAGCCGGGGTCGAGCCTGTAAACACTGAGTACCGAATCTCCTCTGGTTGCTGAGTCTGGTCAGGTGGCTGCGTCGGGTGAGGTGTTTGCTGCAGCATCTAGGTCTGGTCCTGAGTCTGCTCCCTCCTCGTGTCGTCTCCTGTCCCCCCGGACCCTCCTCAGGCACCACCGCCTTGGTCACCCCTCCCTGAATCATCTCCGAGGCATGGCCTCCCGTTACCTTGTCTCTCGTCTTCCCCGGTCCCTCCCTCCCCTCCCTCCAGTGCCTGCCCCTACCTGAGTTCCCTGCGTTGAGGGGCGACAGCGCGCCGCCCCTCACTCCTCCGAGTTTCCTCCGACAAAGGCTCTGCTATAGACTCTTCACATGGACGTGTGGGGTCCCGCCCACGGTCGTGGCCAGGGTCACGAGCGTTACTTCCTGTTGGTGGTTGACGATTACTCGCGTTACACCACAGTCTTCCCTTTGCACAGCAAGGGTGACGTCACTGAGGTGTTGATCGAATGGATCCACGCAGCTAGTCTCCAGCTCAGAGAAATTTTCGGCTCGGACTTTCCTATTCTGCGTCTACACTCCGAAAGAGGTGGAGAGTTTTCCTCCGACCTTCTGTGAGCCTTCTGTTGTGCGGAGGGCATTCACCGGACGTTCACCACTCCGGCCCTCTCTGCAGCAAAATGGGATTGCTGAGCGCCGCATTGGCATGGTCATGGACGTCGCTCGTACGTCCATGATTCATGCGGCTGCTACCCATTTTCTGTGGCCGTTCGCGGTCCAGTACGCAGTGCATCAGATCAACCTTCAGCCCCAAGTCTCCTTGCCGGAGACCTCCCCTACTCTGCAATGGACAGGGAAGGTTGGCAATGCATCTGCGTTTGGAGTCTGGGGATCTCTGGCTTTTGTCCGCGACTTGTCTGCGGACAAGCTTTCCCCCCGTGCTGTTCCCTGCGTCTTCCTTGGCTTCCCCCCTGATGCGCACGGTTGGCAGTCTTACCACCCCACCTCGCGCCGTGTTCTGTCCTCCCAGGACGTCACGTTTGACGAGTCGGTTCCTTACTACTGTCTCTTCCCCTACCGCACTACGCCCCTCCCCCCGCCGCCGCTCTTCCTCGCGCCAGGTCCCCCTCTGGTACACCCCCTTCTTCCTCACGGTCCTGCCCCCTCAGGTGTGTCCCATGTAGACGCAGTCCAGCCTGTCGAGGTAGCTGTTGACTCTAGTGCTACTAGGGGTGCTGAGCTTGGGCGTGCTGAGCCTGGGGGAGCTGAGTCTATGGGTGCTGAGCCTGGGGGTGTTGAGCCTGGGGGTGCTGAGCGTTGGGGTGTTGAGCTTGGGGGTGCTGCATCCGAGGGTGCTGAGCCTGGGGGTGCGGAGCCTGAGGTTGCTAGGCCTGCTCGTCTGGAGTCTGGCGGTACTGGGTCTAGAGGTCCCTCGGGTGCTTCGTCCTGGCTGGAGCTACCCTCTCCACACGAGCAGCGCGAATGGTTTGCTCGGCGGTGGAGCCATACTGCTGGAGCTGGAGGTGCTGTTGGAGCTGGAGGTTGTGTTCCTACTGAGGGTGTTGTTGCCACGGGTCCCGGAGGTGCTCGTACTAAAGGTACTAGAGCTGCTTGGCCTGGGGGTGCTCCTGGTGCTGGAGCTTCTCGTGGTGCTTCTAAAGCAGGTGCTGCTGGAGGTGCTAGAGCTGTGGCAGCTGGGGGTGTGGCAGTGGAGTTGCTGCTGGCGCTGGTGCTTCTGAGGGTGCTAGGATTGACGGTGCTGCCACTGGGGGTGCTGGTGCTGTCCCTGCTGGCTCAGGAGGGGCTGCGCGGCCGCAGCCGTACTACGTTCTGCTCCTTGAGCAGGTTCTTTGTCTCCCGCCTTCTGCTGGTCCTGCTCCTTCCTTAGAGTGTTCGCCGCCTATCCAGTCGGAGTCGCAGTTACAACCCGCCTCCCCCGTGCCTGCTCCTTCTCCCTACACTGGTCCTACTGGAGGTCTTGCTCAGCGTCGTGAGCCTGCGTCTCATCCTGAATCGCTTGGTCGTGCTGCTCGCACTAGTAGTCGTGTTCTGCGTCCGCGTCCTCCTACGGTCCTAGGCACTCACCAGATGGCACTGCGTCCTTCCACTGCTCATGTGTGTGTCCTGTTGCCGTCTCCTCCAGAGACCTCTCTTCCTGCTCTTGCTCACCTAGAGTCTGACTCTCTTTGTGCTACCAGTCCTAATGTCACGCATCTTCTGGCTACTGTTCTCATTGACCCTTCTTTTGAGTCCACTCCTGCGTCTGCCTTAGTTGCTGAGCTTGTCGACTTTGCTGCTCGCTGTCGTCTAGACTACGCCGCTAGTCTCGTTGCTGAGTCTGAGTCTGTCTGTCCTCCATCCGTCGAGGGTGAGTGTGCTCTTAGCACAGACGTCCTTGAGGATATGCAGGAGGAGTTTCAGTGTTTTGCTACTACTTGGCCTCATCTCGTGTCCATGCTGATTGCCCCTGAGGGAGACCCGGATGCACTAGACATCCCCATTCTTCGATCGTACGCTGAGGTGATCGAGGGTCCATACTCCTCTCAGTGGTAGTCGTCCATGGACGCAGAGATGGCTTCCTTGAAGTCCGCATGCACCTACGTCGACGAGGTTCCCCCACCTGGGGCGAACATCGTCAGTGGCATGTGGATTTTCAGGGTGAAGCGGCCGCTCAGTTCTCAGCCTGTCTTCAAAGTGCGTTACGTGGCCCGAGGCTTCAGTCAGCGGCAGGGAGTTGACTACTTTCAGACCTTCTCTCCCACCCCAAAGATGACCACTCTTTGGGTGCTACTACATATAGCCGCTCAGCGTGACTACGAGCTTCACTCTCTTGACTTCAGCACATCTTTCCTACAGGGTAGCCTGCACGAGGAGATCTAGCTGTGCCGCCCACCTGGCTTCACTGGGTCGTTTCCTCCAGGTA